AAGAAGAAGAAGAAGAAGAAGAAGAAGAAAGAAGAAAGAAGAGAAGAAGAAACAAAAAAAAAAGGCAGGCAGATGTGAAACCAGTTGATTTCTCAGCACTTCGTCCTGTATTTGCTCAGTGAACCTTCCTGCAATGTCATGGGATGATAGAACCACAGATGGTGAGCAGCCTTCAACAGGCTGTGGTTTCCTTGTCTCTATGGGGAGATGCAGTACCAGAGACCAGGTAGGCAGGTGGATGTGGGCTCTAGCCCTGCCCACCTTCAGCTGGAGGAGGACCAGGGTCAGGCCCAGGGTCAGGAGCAAAAACTAAAGTGAGGAGCAAATGGGGAGGGTTCAGAGTGGCCAGTAGCCTCAGAAGACTGCACAGGCTCATTCCAAGGCCACTTAGGAGCGAGTTTATGAGCATCAGGCATGAGATGCCTCCGCCTGAAGAAATATTGATTCTTAAACTGTAAAACAGATCATCCAGGAGCCTGGGCTCTACAAGGAAGAATGTGTAATCAGGATTGGAGAAAGACTCATCAACAACCTAGGCAGGTTACCTTGCTTGCTGAAACTGAGGCATTTTCTGCAGAAAGTCAAGGACTGTAGCCTTCACTATGGATTGGTGCTCAACATCAAGAAAACAAAGATTCTCACCACTGGGATAATTGGCATCACCATGATAGACAGAGAAGAGACAGCTTCAGCTTGCTTGGTTCCACAATCAACACTCTTGAAACCAGCAGCCAGGAAATCAAAAGATGAATTGCATTAGGAAAGTCTGCTGTCAGAGACCTCTCCAGAATACTGAAGAGCAATGATGTCAGTCTGGAGACTAAGGTGTGCCTGATCCCAGCCATTGTCTTTGCAATTACTTGCTATACATCAGAGAGCTGGACAATGTCTAATGATGCCATTAAGTTATGGTACTGGAGAAGAGTATTGAATATACCATGGACTGCTAAGAGAACAAACAGATTTGTCCTGGAGAGGGTGAAACCAGGCTGCTCCTTGGAAACAAGAATTTTGAAGTTCCATCTGACAGACTTTGGGCATGTTTCAAGGAAGGACCAGTCCTTGGAGAGGGATGTCATGGTTGGAAGGGATGAGGGATAGTGCAAGAGAGGAAGACCCTGGATGAGATAGATTGATTCAGTGACTAGGTTAATGCAGGTAAGTGTGTCAGAAACAATGAAGTTGGCTCAGAATAGAGCAGGATTCAGGGCTGTTGCACGTAGAGTTGCTATAAGTTGCAAGTGACTCAACAGCACATAACAACACAATAACAATCATACTCACCTCCAAAGAACTATGAAACCATTAAGATATATGTTAATAGAACATACAGAAGGAGCTTTGAAAAGGAACAGAGGAGAAGTTATCCAGTCTTTTGAGATGAGCTTATCTTTGAGGTTGTGTCTTGTTTTGGCTGTGAGCTTCCTGGTAGCCAAGGCAAAAGGGGAACCTGTGAGTCATGTGGTTTGTGTTGTCTAACACTAATAAAGGCTTGGTTGGAATGCATCAAAAAAGAGGAAGTTATTGTGTGGGCGTGCTTCCTCTAAATCCATATTAATCTGGATCCTCCCAGAAGCAGACACTGCAATGAAATTTAATATACAAGGATTTCTTAGGGGATGCTCCTGTGTGGCAGAAAAGGGAGAGGGAGCTGTTGGAGTTTGGGAAACTGTCAGAGACTATGATGGAGAAGAAAGGGAGGAGGGGTTGAGTGTGAGTATCTTAGGCTGATGCATAGGCAGGATGGTTGCAAAATTTGAGACGTCCAGTGTTGACCATCAGAAGTCCTACATATCCCCTGGAAGGTCCTGTTTCCAAATCCTGCATCATCCTAGTGCTGGCTGGCAAGTGTAGCCTTGGCACAGAAGGATGTGCATCTTGTCCAGTTAGACTCCTTGTAGTGAGAGGTCCTACCACCCTGTGTCAGGTTGTTGTATTGTTGCTGTAATGCTGCTGTGATCCTGGAAACTATACCACTGGTGTTTCAAATACCAGCAAGCTAATCCATGGTAGGATGGTTTCAGTGGTGCTTCTAGACTATAAAAGACTTGGAGAGAATGTTTGGTGATCTACTTCCACAAATTAGCAAATGAAAACCCCATGGTTAGTGACAAGAAGCTGCACTGCAATCCCGAAGGCACTTGGTTCAACACCACCAGCTGCTCTGCTGGGAGAAGAATGGGCAATCTCCTCTCATGCAATTAACTGACTCTGAAAACCCACCAGGGGGTCAGCAATGTGTTGGTTCCAACTTGACAGTGCACAATAGCAACAACAATAATGATAGTGACAAAACATGTCTGTGTCAGTCTCATTCAAAATGGACTCAAGCATTACATCATGGTAATTGTAGGGAGCCAAACCAGGCAATGCTTTGTTCTGTTGTGTGTAGACTCACGGCCGGTAAGCAATGGACCACAAAGTTGGAGGCCAGCCAGGCATGTTCTTGGGCACCATACTTTCCAAAAGTCAGGCATTTGTTCCCACACCACCTTCACGCTTTGCTATGCAGAGTGCTTCCTGTCCTAGTACTTGTCTCATGTTTTTCTTTATAATGGCTTTAAATTAATTCCTTCCCCCTATATTATTGAGATTTGAATGAAAGTTTATAGAGAACTTGGATTTCCATTCATTCATTGTTGCATGTTTTCCTCCCTGTCCACCCCTCCCCCAGTTCACTTTTCTCTCTGAAAAGAAAAAAAAATTCTTTGATTGTTTTACAAACGCCCCCCTCCAAGTCCACTTTATTACGCAGCTCTTATTTTGAACTCTTGTCATGCAAATAAAATCTGATCATATATAAATGAATTCCTTTTTAAATTATAGCTTCTACCTCAGCAATAGCCATGCAATCATAGTTAAAGACCTAATTATATGGTGATTTTTTTTTCTTAGTTCACATTAAACTAAACGCTTAACTACTCATATTTTAAGTTGTATGCCACCAAGAATCACCTCTTACGCCACCAGCAGTATATGCATTGGATGTTGGGAAGTGCTGGTTTTACCAAGAACACAGAAAGACAAATATAACCCAAAATAGAAAAACAAAAACCCAAGTTGCCACCTCACTTTTTTAGAAGCAGATGGATGTTCAGGGCTTCTCCCCCAAAGGAGCCTCTGGATGGGTTCAGACCACTGTGAATTATCCACCAACTTTTCCATTGCTTGTTTGGCACTTGGCAATATATGTCATTCAGACACTCAAACTCCCTGCCGTACAGTCATTCCAATTCAGAACAAACCTCCAGCAGATTTTGGAAGCTGGGAATCGCAGCAAGAGGCGACAGTCCATCTTTCTCTCAAGGAGGTGCTGGTGGGTTCAGATGGCTGAAGACTTTGGGTTGACAGCACAACTGGCCACAGACCATGTCCCCAGTGCTCACCCAGTGACTCCCAGAAATGCTGCCACTAGAAAGGTTGTGTTCATCGCCAGTGTTGTACTGCTTGCCTTGAGATCAGCTTGAATCTGATCTCGTGGGTAGTCCCTGAGGCTCCAGGAAGGTCTTGGGAGTGAGGGTGGTGGGGAGGCCTGGTTGACCCAACTCCCTGGCTGTGTCACCAAGCTCTATTCCCTCTTTCAGATGTGGAGCTGGACCTCCTGAGGAGCGTGCAAGCTGTGCTTCGGGAACTCGGAGACCAGGCCCCGGCTCTGCAGAACAACCAAGGTAGGGAGTTGGGGGTGTGTTCATCTGCACTGTCTGTCCCTAGTCACCAGCCGGGCCCAGTGATCTCTGTCCACACGATTGTCCCAGCCTGAAGCTGGAGTGGTGAAGGCTGCTCCCTCTTGCTTGACCTGCTCCCTGCTCAAGTCTCCCCCAAATGTTTAGTGCATGAAGATCTGCCTCTTCCTTGGCCAGTCCCCTCCTCCAACTCTATTTCCAAATAAAATCCCCTCAGCACTGCAGAACTTTCAGAACTGTAGCTCAGGAATACTGACCTGCAAGCCTTGATGCTCATGCATGCTCCCTCTCCTGTCCCTTAACCTCGGCAGAGAACGACAGAGTGGGGCTGTCCCTGCTGGTGTTCCTTTCCTCTCCTCCCTGGCCTGACAACTGCCCATGTAGGACCTGCAGATGCAAATCCCCCCACATGTGACCAGGCCTGTGGCATTGGAGCCGAGCCCCTGGCTGAGGGTCAGACCAGCTGGGGCTCCTGGGCTCTGCTCAGATAGATCTCCTCTAAGAACCTCCTTTCCTGGGTGCTGGGCTCCTTCTTCTCCCTGCACAGGCATGTGGAGATGGTCCCTGCACAAGAAGGTGGAGAGAGATCCCAGGAAGAGCCCGGCTCTGGTTCGTATCCTGCTCAGAGAACTGGAGAAGGTGGGTCCTTGGGCTCCGGGAGACACACAGAGTTGGAACAAGAGGGGTTAGTTGGGTTGAAGGCTCAGCTCCATTAACGTTGTATCTCCTGAACATGGGTCATTTGATATGTAGGACTCCTTTATAATTTTGACCATAATAGTCTTCTCGAGGGCAGAGTTGGTTCTGTAACAGAATACTCACCCTCTGTGCAGGAGATCCAGGTTCAATTCCTGGCCCAATGGATCACAATGGTCCAGATCATGGAGAGGGTCTGGGACCAGGCAGTGTTTTGTTCCACTGTGCTTGGAACCACAGTAAGGTAGGGCTGACTCCATGACCACTAACTAACACCCTGTATCTTTACATAAACAATGTTTTCTTTTAATTGTTTTATTTACATTAACATATCTCAGTGTGTGAAGTGGTTGACTTCTAGAAGGTGGCTTCTCTTGTTTTGGTGAGGGTCAGGTCTGGACTGTTTGGTTGGTTTTTTTGGCTCACAATTGTGTGTGAGCTGTGTGGATTTGTCAGGTTTAGGAGCTGTGGGCTGGAAGCCTCTTGTTTAGAGTCAACCAGGAACTGGTTGGTGGGCCTTGTATTTAAAAGGTGGATTGGGATGAACATTCTTCTAAGTGGTACAGCACTGGTCTGTCAATTTACCATACTAAGGTAACTTGGGGTTGCTGTAATTTTGAGTGCTGTGCCATCAGTGTGTCAAATGCCATAATTGTTACCCATTATGGACAGTGTTTGGTGGAGCTCCTAGATTGAGACAGGCTTAGAAACAGGAGTGGCATCCTTTTCCTAAACAACATGCCTCTGGAAACTCTATAAATGTAGAGAAATGACAATAGTTCTAAAACTGGGTTCAGGTTTTTTGTTCATGGCATTGCTATGAGTTGTACTCTACTCAATGACACTTAACAACAACAACAATAGCATGACTATAGATGAAAAAGCAATATCTCTTGTAAAGATGATACCAAAGGCATAAACATAAAACCATAATGATGAAAACTTTTGTAATTGTCTTTGTGATATCTAAAATTTTCATCATACCATAATATCCTGTGTGCAGCTGTTTGGGAAATGGCATTAAAGGAGCCTCAAGGTTGGGAACTTGCTTATAGCTTTGCCCGGCCCTGAGTCATTGACCTGTCCACCTTCCTGTAGTTCCTGGGGGCCACTCTTTACTCCTCATGTCACAGCAGGGATCCCTCCCCACCTGAACCCCTGCCCTGGCCAGACTGCATCCTGTTTTCCATCCCCCTTGAAGTTCCTGGGTAGAAAAAAATGGGTAAGAGCTCAGCTGATAACAGACACTATGACAGCTCTTGTCCACCTAAGGTGCCGAAAACTCAAAACCTGAAAATCCTGAGGAGCACAATCCTGCTCCAATACACCTGGGGATGCCCAGTTACACCTGACGTCCTGGCAACTGGTTTACCTGTGTTGAGATGGAACACTGCGTGCCACTCTCCACTCCTGCATCCTCCAGCTTGTAAATGTCATGTAATCTCCTGTTTTCCAGGCAGAAAGTGAGGACCTCCGGCACGTCATCATTCCCTTGCTTCACACAATCATGTACGTGCTCACAAAGGTGAGGAGGGGTTGAGTGCAGGTGGTGATGGGACCCATGCAATGCCCCTTAGAGACACCAGTATCTGCTGGCACAAGTCTGGCAAACTATTGTAATGCCAGCTCCTATCTGGCTTCTATGCACCATGGTGGTGGTGATGTATACCATCGAGTCGGGACTGACTCATAGGTGACCCTCCAATGGGTTTTCAGAGGCAGTTAATTGCACAGGAAGAGATTGCCCATCCTTCTCCCATAGAGCAGCTGGTGGATTCAAGTTACCCACCTTTGGGATTGCAGTTCAGTTTCTTACCATTAGGCCACCAAAACTCCCACTGTTGTTGATTGTCATCAAGTCGAGCACAACTCATAGTGACCCTGTGAACAAAAGGCCTGAAGCCTTTCTTTAACTATTGTCATTTATCAAAGCTCATATAGTTTCCAAGGGCATGTTATTTAGAAAGTGGATGCCACTTCTGCTTCTAAACTGTGCCCTAAAAGGGAACTTCAATGGTCTAGCCCATAGGAAGAGGCACTTGGAACTCAAAAGCTGAACCTCTCTTGTGATTTGATTCCACACAGTATTCCAAGAAAGAAAGGTGGGCAGTCTCCTCACATGCAATTTATAGTCTCGAAACCCCTCTGGGGAGTCAGCTGTGAGCTGGTTTCAACTCAGTGGTGATGAGTAGAGAGTGAGAACATGCTCTAATATGTGATGAGACACAAGCGCAAAGGCAGTGGGGAAACTAAAGCAGAGAGGAGAGTGAGTGTGTGGAGGGTTTCAAATGCCAAAGTAAGGCCTCAGGCTTTCTCGTCTGTGTGGTGGGAGAGAAAAAGGGATCCTATACAGAGGAAAATGCAAACTCATTACCAATGAGCCAAAACAGACTTATAGCAGCCCTCCCTTGGGTCTCAGAGGCTGTAAAATTGCACAGGAAGAGACTCCCCATCTTTCTTCTTCAGGGTTGTTGGTGGATTTGAACCACCAGAGAGATACCCCCTTTGAATTAGCAGCACAATTCCCTATGAAGGACGTGATGAATGAAAAGTGTGTTGGAAGAGTAATTGAACACCACAGGAGTAAGATTGCCCAGAAAGGAAGAGAAAAGGAGCCATTCTGAGGTGGTAGAGCATCCAGGACAAGGGTTGACTCTGGAAGAAATAGGGAGCAAGGTGAGGTAGGAGCAGAAGGAAGGCTCAGGCCTGGGGAGTGCCTCAGGTCTGTGAAATGAAAGGAGAAGCCAAGGCTATGCTCAAGAGGTAATTCCAAGGTTACTTTTCAGACATAATTCCAGGGTTAGCCTGGAGAACTGTAGAGCTGTGTGAACCTAAACAAGCAAAGAGTTGGGAGGGGAGTAATTTATTAGCAGAAAATGTGGAGATGGATTTCCATCTTGTGGGTGTCTTGGTTATTGAGTGCTGCTGTAATAAAAACACATGAGTGGAAATCGAACCCTGGGCATTCTACAGAAGGGAAATAAGCTAACAGCGTTGGTTATCTGCTATGAACAGGGAAGACCCTTTCTTGGAGCAGCTTGGAGAACAGTAGCTGTACGGGAGGATTTTGGGAAGCTGGCCTTCACGGCGTCCAAGGGTGGGACACGGTCTTCTGAATCTCAAGGGGTGGGGCCACAGCCTCCTTGGTTTCAGAGTTAGATCTTTGCCAATTTTGGTTCTGGAGCATAGAGTTGCCTTTAAGGTTTGCAAGGGGTTGGGGAGAAGGATGGACATCCTCATATTATGTGACTAACTGCTTCTGAAAGCCTGCTGGAGGGTCAGCTTATGGGTTGGTCCCGACTCTACGGTACCAACAACCACAGGGGATTGGAACGACCATCCAGGGCTGAGGGAGTGGAGCTGCCATGTCTAAGAGATGAAAGAACAGAGTCTACTGACTTCACTTTCTTTTAAGACTTGAGAAGAGTGTTTAACATCTACATTCACAACAATATTCTCTTGTTCTTTCCACACCCATTCTCTAAAAAGTGAAAAACAAAATGTTTGCTGTAGCTGTCCTCATGTCCTCCTGAGCCCTCACCAGAATGACCTTGGACAGTAATTCTACTAACAGCCTCTTCAAGGAATTCTACACTTTTATTATTATTAGGTCTCTTAAAACTCTCCTAACCCCTGCTCATTACCCAACTCTAAAACCACTTCCACATCTTAGGTGCCTGTGTGAGCAGCAACCTCACTTTTCGGTGCCACATTCTATCTTGGTTCTCTAGTGCTGCTGTAACAGAAATACCACAAGTGGGGTCTTGAACAAACAGGAAGTTATTTACTCACAGCAGAGGAAGCCTGAATTCAGGCTACTGGTTCCATGTCCTCTTCTGAGTTTCTGCTCCTGGTCAAACTTCATATAGTTTGACATCTCCCCCCCCACCCCTTCTACTTCCTTGCTTGCTTATTTGACTTTCTTTATAGCTTAGAAAAGACAGATTTAAGACACACTCAACACTAGTTTTTGGCACTCTCGTGACCTAGTGGCAAGAAGCTGTGCTGTAAGCTTGAAGGCACACGGTTTGAGGGCACCAGCTGCTCTGGGAAAGAAGGATAAACAATCTCTTCTCATGTGATTAACTGCCTCTGAAAATGAGCTGGAGGGTCAGCTATGGGTTGGTACACAACAAGACCACCACCACTAACTTTGTCTCATGAATGTAACAAAGGCAACTTGTTTTCTAATGGGATTAGAATCAAAGGCATAAAAGTTATTCTTTACAGCACTTGTTTTGGGGGCACAATTCAATCTATAAGAATACATTTGAGTAGGGAGTCTAAGAGATATGTCTTATATCTTGGTGCTGGGAGAAGGCTGGAAGCTGTAGATATGCAGGTCATGAACAGCCAGATAAGTAGGGTTAGAAGTGTGAGCTCACAGCCTGTTGTCAGGCCTCTGCTTTCTCTCCCTACCTCACCCCATAACCACTCCCACCCCCAGGACCTTTCATGAACCAGAGCTCTGGGCACCCCAACATCCCCCTCTCTCCCAGGCCACAGGCATCACTGAGGAACTCTATCGGAGGACCTACACCTTTTGCATCAAGTTACTAACCCTGCCTACCCCCTACTGCACGGTGGCCTTGGATTGTGCTATCCAGCTGAAGACAGAGACAGCTGTTCCAGGTGAGAGCCACCATGACTGTTTTCTCCCTACTACAACCTCAGTGCCACCCTTGCCTCTTCTTCTAGGCTTCAGGGGCTCAGTAAGTCTCAGCGTCCTCATGAGAGATGGGGAGTCTGATATTTAGGGCCTACTTGACTTACGTGGTCTGTTTGCAGGAACACTGTATCAGAGAATGGTCATTGCTGAGCAGAACCTGATGAGTGAGCTGTACCCCTACCAGGAGAGGTGAGTGACCCAGAAAGCTGCTGCCTTTGGCCCTCATGACTGGGGGACTGTGTGACAACACCACAAAAGAGAGGCTGGCTTGGGCTTCTCAACTGTGATATCTGTCTAATAGCTGCAAGCGTTTTCAAGGGTAGGTGGGACATGTTTTCTGGAGACCAGATCTCTTTTAAAGAGCCTGAATTGAGAGCTGGCCCACTCACATGCAGAGGGTGGAACTGGTCACAAGTTTGCTCCTGTATCTCTGGTTCCACCCACATCTTGTCCATGGCTGTGATGGAGCCTTGAGCCAGCCATGCAGCTGCAGGTGGTTCCAGGATATCTCTGTTATAGGAGCTGTGGCTGAGGAGTCAAGTGAGAGACGGAGCTTTCGTCTGTGCGTTCTTGGATGAGACTAGGGAAGTGAACTGCTTACTTGGAGGGACTGGTGCAAGTGGAATGTGCCACTTCTTTCTCTACAGGGAGTCTGTGACTTGACACTAACAGATTCAGTGTGGGTTAAGCTTGAGGCTCTATGTTCATGAAGGGTGGGGGAGGGATTCTAAGAAATTAGGGCTGGAGAATTATAACCTGGCAGAGGCTGGGAGGAGAAAGTGGGTGAAGGTGACAGAGTGATGGGAGAAGACATGGCTCTCTCAGGTTCAGAGCTCCAGTTTCAGATGGAAGGATTGAAGATAGTTCCTAGAGAGAAACATGATCGCTGGACCAGGTCCTTTCACAGAAATACAATGAGCTGGAATGTATCAATACACAATATTGGGCCCCCTTTTCTATATGAAGATAAATGGACTGTAGCTGAATAAGCAGCTCCCTCTCTGAAAGAGATATATATGCTCTTATTTGCCACAGTCCTCACCACTCCCTATTCCTCATTTCATTGGTTTTTGAACGTGAATCTCTTGTTTTAGGAGGAACTCAGTAATTTATCTTCATTAGTTCCCTTCTCCTCGCCCACCTCTGCCGTCAGGGTATTTCTCTTCGTGGATCCTGAGCTGGTCTCTGCCTCTGTGTGCAGTGCCCTGCTGCTGGAGATCGAGGCGGCTCAGATGCAGCAGACACCAGAGGCCTGCATGCGCCACGTGGTCTCCCACGCCCTGCAGGCCGCACTGGGCGAAGCCTGCCACGCTGCTGCTCTGCAGAAGAAGCTGAAGGTAACTGCTCCACCCTCAGGCCTGGCTAGTTCCAGCCCAGCTCCTTGCACACTCACGCCAGGCACCGTCTCCCCTTCTTCTATTTCATAGTTGCTTTCTGCCTTAAAAAAAAAAGGTTCATATTTACTGAGGAAAATCTAGGGATGGGAGTGGGGAATGCAGATAAGTCAAAGAAGAGAATGTGAACATACATAGTTTTCAGACATAGTTAACAACTAACTTTTAAATGTATGTATTATTTTTATAATACTGACAATGATAATCCTAATAGGCACCACTTCTTGAATGCCTGTTAGATTCTATGTACTGTCTCATATTTTTTTCAAGTTCACACCAGAACCCTCTGAAGTAACTTCTATCTATAGGTGGGGGAGGGGAGGAAGGCAAAGAGAAATTGATATAAAGTGACTGAACCTGGATTTTAACCCAAATCTATCTGACCTCAAGCTTATGTTCAATTGTCTTCTGGTCTTTGTATTCATACACAATTTTTTGTTTTGTTTTATTTTGTTTTCACATCCAGTTTTATATTCTGAAATAGTTCTTTTAGTTGTCTAATTCTGCCATACCAGAAATGACCACAAGAGGGGGATTTAGCAGATTAATCTATTTTCTCAACAGTGTAGGAGGCCAGAAGTCTAGATTCCCGGGCACCAACTCCAGGGGAAGACTTTCTTTCTCAGTCAACTGTGGGCAAAGGTCTTGGTCTCTCTGAGTGTCTTATTCTTGCGCTATCTTCATGTGGCTTGCTATTTCTCTTTTTCCATCTCTGCTTCCATCATTTATTTGTTCTCTTTTCTATTTCAAAAGACTTAAAGACACACCCTATACTAATAGAGAGCTCTGGCGGCTTGTTGCTGTTGTTACGTGCCATCAAGTCACCTGCTACTCATAGTGACCCTGTGTACAGCAGCTCTGAAGCCTGTCTTGTCCTGAGCCAGTCTCACTGACTCTGACACACCAACCCCCACTGCCACAGTTACTGTGTCAATCCATCTCATCCGGGGTCTTCCTCTCCTGTGCTGTCCCTCTACCTTTCCGAGCATGATGACCTTCTCCAAGGACTGGTTACTCTTGGCCACATGACCAAAATATGTAAGATGGAGCTTCAAAATCCTTGCCTCCCAGAAGAAACTTGGTTTCACTCTCTCCAAGACAGACCTGTTTGTTTTCTTGGTGGTCCGTAGTATGTTCAATACTCTTCTCCAGCATTACAATTCAAGGCATTGATTCTTCTTCTTTCATTCTTAGTCCAGCTTAGTCCATCACCCTGGTGCATAGTAAGTTAACTGTGAAAGTCATGGCCTGGATCAAGTGCACCTTAGTCTCTAGACTGGCATCATTGCTTCTCAACACTCCGGAGAAGTCCCTGAGAGTAGATTTTCCTAGTGCAATTCTTTTGATTTCATGACTACTAGTGCCAAGAGTGTTGATTGTGGAGCTAAGCAAGCTGAAATTGTTAACAACCTCAATCTCTTCTCCATCTCTCATAGTGCTGACAATTGGCCTAATGGTGAGAATCTTTGTGGTCTTCTTCTTTTTTTAAATCTTTGTCTTTTTGATGTTGAGTTTCAATCCATATTGAAGACTACAGTCCTTGACTTTATGCAGCAAGCACTTCAGGTCCTCCTCAGTTTCAGCAAGCAAGGTTGTGTCACCTACATAACGCAAATTATTTATGAGTCTTCCTCTAATCCTGATGCAACATTCCTCCTCATAAAGCCCAGCCTCTTGAATGGTTTGTTCTACATACAGATTAAAAAGCTGTAGAGACAGAATGCTTCCTGATACACTCTTTTCCTGATTTTGAACTATGCAGGGCTTCCCTCCTCTGTTCTGAGGACTGCTTTCTTGTCCAAATACAGGTTTTGCATGAGCACAGTCAAGTGTTCTGGGATTCCTATTCTCCTCAAGGTTAATTACAGTCTGTTGTGACCCACACAGTCAAATGCCTATGCATAGTCAATGAAATACAGATATACATTCCTCTAGTACTCTTTGCTTTCAGACAATAGTCCATTTGACATTGGAGATAATGTCTTTAGTGCCACGACCTCTTCTAAACCTAGCTTGTGTTTCTTGTAGTTCTCTGTCAATGTCCTGTTTCAGCTGTTTGTTTGTGGGTTGTTTTTTTTTTTATAATCTTCTGCAGGATTTTGCTTGCTTGTGATATTAATGAGATTTTTCTATAACTTACACATTCTGTCGAGTCACTTTGTTTTGGAATGAGACTAAATAGGAATCTCTTCCAGTCAGTTGGCCAGATAGCTACCCTCCAGATCTCTTGGCACAACCTGGTAAGCATGTCCAGGTCAGGTGGACATCTGTTTGTTGAAATATGTCAGTTGGTATAAAATCAATCCCTGGGACATTTTTTTTCCAATTCCTTCAGAGTAGCCTGAGCTTCTTCCTTCATCACCATTGTCTCTTAGCTCATGTTTATTCTTTCATATTATTCCTCTCCTCAGTACACATCACTTATATCTTTAGAATACCATCCCTGTGGTTAGCACTGGATCCTGCTGAGGTTCTTGTCTCATTCCCCTTCCCCACCATCCTTGACTTCCCCTTCTTGTATAAAAGCCCCTTTGGAGAGTGCACCACTCACTGGTGTTCCTGATTCCACTAAGCTACACTGTTAAGCCAAAATCTGGGGTTACAAAAAAATTTTTTAAAAAATTTATTGTTAATTTCAGTAAAAATTTACAGAGACTTTGGATTTCCATTAATTCATTGTTGCACTTTTCTCCCCTACCAACCCTCCCCCTTAGTACACTACCCTCTTGGAAAGTAAAAGAAAAATTCTTTCATTGTTTTACAAACCCTCCCCCAGGTCCACTCCACCATGTAACCTTCACTCTAGACTCCTGTCATGACAGAAATACCTAATCACATACCCCTTTTAAACAGTTTTCTCCCTCATATGTTTCAGTGCAGTATATATTACTGAAACCATCTTTCTCAGTCTCCCCCTAACCCTGAGGTCAGTCCCATTTTATAACAGTGGCATCATGCAGTATTTGTCCTCTTGTGACTGAGATTCTTCACTCAGCATAATGTCCTCCAGGATCACCCATTTTTGAATAATATTGCATGAGTTCTTTGTTTTCCAATGCAGCATAGTATTCCATTTTGTGAATATACCACAGCTTCTCTATTCATTTGTTTGTTGATGGGCACTTAGGTTGTTTCCAACTCCTTGCTATTGTGAACAAAGCCACCATAAACATGGGTGTGCATGTATCTGCTTGGATGTCAGTTATGGTCACTTTGGGGTATATTCCCAGTGGTAGCATTGCTGGGTCAAATGGTATCTCTATTTGCAACTTTTTGAGAAATCACCATATTGCCTTCCATAGTGGTTGCACCATTTTACACTCCCACCAACAGTGAATCAGGGTTCCAGTTTCTCCACAACCTCGCCAGCATTTGTTGCTTGCTGTTCTGTTAAATTTTGCTATTCTGACTGGGGTGAGATGATATTGCATAGTTGTTTACTTTGCATCTCTCTTAGAGCTAGGGATTTTGAACTTTTCTTCATGTTCTTGTTAGTCATCTGAATGTCTTCTTCGGTGAAGTGTCTGTTCATATCCTGTGCCCATTTTTCTATTGGAATATTTACCTTTATCTTATTGCGGTGAAAAAAAATCTTTATACTCAGGCATTTGAGGAGCAATGCTTTACTCATCTAGTGAAGAGATAGAGAAAGGCCAGCTTTAACTGGGCATCATTCTCCCATGACCAGCAAGTCATCCCCTGCATTCACTGACACAGTCGAGGAACCCCACTCCGTCATCATCAGGAAAAGACATGGATGTGGGTTTGGTCTGGTGCCACATAATTCACAGGTTCCTGAGAATGTTGCCATGTGTTCCAGGAAGGAAGGAAGGGATGTGATTCTAAGCTCCGATAGGTTGCGATTTGGATCAAGGGAGCCCACACTCATCTTGTTCAAAAGGCCAGATAAAAACCTCTGTACAGGATTCAGTTGTGAGTCACACGAGAGGCCCTCTTAGATGGCCTCTAATGTGGGACACTGTCCTGCCTGGCAATTGGTATGGCTATTGAGCACATAGGGAGCTCTCGTGGCTTAGTGGTAAGGAATTGCACTAGCAAGCCAAAGATACACAATCTGAATCCACCAGCTACTCCACCGAGAAAGATGGGCAACCTCCTTCTGTGCAATTTACTGCCTTTGAAAATCTGTTGGAGTGACAGACTATGGATTGGTTCCGACTCCACGGTCAGAGCAGCAATAACATTGAGCATGTGGAGAGGTGAAAGCTTTCCTGTTCGAGAGTTTGCCAAGCAACTCAGCAGCCCAACAACCCTTCTGGAGACTCTAGTGAAGGCTTGACTCATCAAACACCGTACTGATGAATACACAATCACTACAATAAAAAGAATTTATTAACATTGAAACATTTTAGGAAGTAGCATTTTCTCAAGAACCAAGGACACTGAAGGAAGAAGTCCAAGGTGTCACTGAAGGCCTAGGTTTAAAAAAACAGTAAGGCATCAGCAATTATAAAATATCCATTCATGTGTTCAACTAACAGATGCAGCCTGGACATGTTGTTGTTGTTGTTGTTATGTGCCATCGAGTCATTTCCGACTCATAGCGACCCTATGCACAACAGCTCTAAACCCTGCTCTATCCTGTGCCAACCGCACCGTCTCTGACACACCCATCCCGATTACCCCAGTCACCGAATCAATCCATCTCATAGAGGGTCTTCCCCTC